GAAGTCTTCAAGACTTTCTTGATGTTTTAAATTCACGTTTCCCTTCGGTTAAATTTACAGTAGAAATGGAAAAAGATGGCAAATTACCATTTTTAGATACGTTGGTTATAAGAAATGGGAATTCTTTAGAATTCGACATCTACAGAAAACCCACTAATACCTCTAGATATATACCCAACGACTCTAATCATTGTGTTCAACATAAAATGGCTAGTTTTAACTTCCTTGTACACAGATTACTTAGCTTCCCTCTTAGTAAAAATAGATATAATAAGGAACTCTGTACAATTAAGAAAATTGCAAAAGACAATGGTTACAATTGTAACATTATTGATAAATTAATTAATAAGATAAAATTTAGGAATTTTATTTCAAGATCTACGACTTTTCAAACAGATGCTAATAAAACCAAGTTTATTACTATGCCATACGAGCCAAGATTTACTCGCGGACTCGAGGGTATTTTTCGAAAACTTGGTTTACGGATTGCTTACAGTTCAAATGGCAACTCCATTCAAACTCTCTTTGGTAACCTTAAGGATAAAATTCCTTTCTTGGAAAAGTCGGGGATATACGAAATTAGTTGTAATGACTGTAGTAAAAAATATATTGGACAAACTAGACGCTCAATCGAAACTAGATTTAAGGAGCATTTAGCTCATGCACGGTTTGGTAGAGAGGAAAAATCTAGTGTTGGCCAACATATTCTTACTGAAGAATGTAATATTAATATTAATAAACTTAAATTAGTTAAGGAAGTTAAGAATAAGTGTTTACTAGATAGTTTTGAAAGTTTATACATTTATAAAAATAAACAAATTTTACTTAACAATGACAACGGTCCTATCCCTGGATCTCCGCTATTTAGTCTTGTTTGAACATCAACCTTATTGTCATTGAGCTCTGTTCACTGAACGTTAACAACTATTAGTATAAATTAGGATTGGTTCTCTTTTAGGCTTAGTTCACTTCAGTCCTTGAAGTAGGTAACCTCGTTACCGAAAAGTACTTCGGACAACTAAAGTGTCGCGTTTTGGCGTTGGGGTTTGAGCTATTTTGTTTGTTATACAACAGCAGCCAAAGTTTTTCCAGTCTTCATAGAAACTCCATTTTTAAATGAAATACTTCAAACAACATTTTCGAAACATTAACTTATTAACAACCAATAATGAACTAACACTTACATAAAAACTACACAAGTAATAGCACATTTTATATATCCACCTACTTTTTTTAAAGCTATAAGCAATCATAGCGAAACTTTCTTAATTAAACATGTTTAATATATGCAAATGTTGTGTCTTTTATTAGTGTCGTAAGTACAGTGTCTTATTTCTTAACTATTTCCACAAAAAATGTGAATCTTATATCATACCGATAATTATTTAAAAAAGCGATGTTGTTAAAATTGTGAAGGGTGTCATTGATGCGAAAAACTATAAAAAAAAACAGTTGATGTGCGCTGGTGTGTCATAATAGTTAGCTAGTTCTGCTTCTTAACAGTCTCCACAAAGTGGATGTCCATCTTCAACTTGGAATGTGGTTTTAGTAATAGGCTTCTTACATTTCTGTAAACAAATTACAAACAATTTTACAAATTATTCGTTACAATTAGATGCAGAGCAGCGAAGAAGTGAAAAACAACACCGTATATTTTGGATTTTATTAAACTGGGTTAAGTTGACTTAAAAAGGAATAGACTAGTACGGGTTTGAAATTACAAAACACGAACTAAATCAAATGGACATTTGGGTTATTAAACCTACATATGTTACTTAAAGTCTCAGCTAAATGCAGAGTTGATAAATTTTGATATAAGAGATTCTTTTCATTTTGCATTTTTCTTTATCATAAAACGATTTTTTTAATATATTAGTAGATAATTCTTAATTTCGAAATTCGAAAAAGATTGTTAAAGTTGTGTGTTTGGAACGCGGTGCTGTACGGGTGCGAAACATGGACGGTGGGCGTGACAGAAAAGAAAAGGTTAGAAGCGTTCGAAATGTGGTCTTACAGGCGAATGATGAGGACACCGTGGATAGAGAAGCTAGACATGAAGAGGTATTAAAAAGAATAGGACAACAAAGGACTACATGGAGATCAACAAAAAATAGGCGAGATAGGTTGGTACTGTTCGTTTCAAGAAGTTAGAGATATGCCCCTTCCCTTTATTAGGATGCGTCGTAGAATAATTCCAAATTCAATCATATTTGTCTGCGGAGCTCATTTCTACACCGATCATCGAGCGAGGACTAGACAAAACTGTGCAGTACCATTTGCAGAATTATTTAAACTGCCTCGTTAAAATTTAAGAACATGCTTTATTTAAAAGCATATTTAGCCAAAAATAATAACAAGTGAATTAACTTAACGTTCTACACACCTATAAAACTATTGCTTTGTTTTCTGTTGTTAATTTATATACATGTTTGTTTTAAGAAATTGCTAAACATTTTCGTCTAATACTGTACAGTTCTAGCCGATCTCCTAAGACCGCCCATCGAGAGCTCTGCTCGTTCAAGCTTGTTCCAACTATTTCTGTCTTGCTTACGCCTAAAGTGTATTCTTTTTATCTTCGCGCAGATTTCTTCAAGGTCACGATTCTAACAAATTGAAATGAACTGTACTTCTGTTAACGTATAACAGAAAGATATGCAGGTAAGTAGAATTTGAGCAGATTGCCAGCATCGGACTTTAAAGAAAGTTCGAGATTCTCAGGGATTTGGGAAAGCAAAGATGCTTGTCACAATTCTGACAAATTGAAATAAACTGTAGGCCACCTTCTCAGGTATGAAGGTCAGTCAGAGACGTACTAGAGGTAGACCTAGATTAGATTACTGCTCGCAAATAGTTAAGGATGTGGGATGTTCTAGTTTTAGGGAATTGCGAAGATTCGCTCAGGATAGGAAGGAATGGAGGTGCATGTCCAACCAGTCTTAGGACTGACGATCTTATGATGATAATCAATTCTTACCAAGCATTTAAAGCACTTCTGATGCCATTTGGCGTCCAAAGCAATAATGGCTTGATCAGTTATGGGTTTGCCACAGTCCTTGCACCTATCAGCAAAATGCTCGTTGTAATCCTTTTCGCAGAAAGGATTTCCATCCTTTTCGGCAAAGCTGGTGCCCGTCAATGGCTTCTTACAAATTGTGCAAGCGAAACAATCTTCATGCCATGTAACATCTAACGCCTTAATAATCTTGTTTTTGATCGGTAATTTACAGGCGTGGCACTTCTTGGCGAACTTGTGTGTATAGCAATCACCGCAGTAAGGGAATCCATCGTGCTGTTGGAATTTTTCGTCTCCTATCGGCTGTTTGCAATTGTGACAGGTGAAGTGCTCGGGATGATAATGGTTTCCAAGTGCTGACAAAATCTGAAATAAAAGGGAAGTCTTGACATCTTTTGATTTTCAACTAATGGCACCACAGGAACAATGCCAGAAACCAACAAAAAATTATTCGTTTTTATTTTCATGTAGCAGAAGGTTATTAACATAGACCAAGACTATAATCAACACCGAATATGCAAGACCAAAACCAAGATTTGAGCAAGACCAATAACAACACTGAGACAGTTTTAGTCTTAGTCTTGCTTTGCTCATCATTAACCAAGTCTCAACGATTTTACTTTTTAAGACATTTAATTCAGCCAAGAGAGATAACATTTTTTTCACAATTTCCAAAACGATTAAATTTTTTATTAACGTATAATCTTTTTCTATTTCGATAATCCATATCGTGGCAGATACTGAAAGCCATCGCTAAGATTACGTAAGCTTTTGTGTTATCAATTACAGACATTTTCGAAACATAAACACCTTTATATTTAGTTACTTCCAAAATAGTTGTCAATCCCAGGAAAATAATTCAAGAAAGTTTTCAACAAGTATGAAAGATGCGACATTTAAACATACATCAGCTTCCAGCAGTTACCTCGAAGTTCACTTCGGTGCCAAATAGTCTAATATTTCGTACTGTCTGTTTTTAAGTGTACGTATTATAATAGAAGTTAAACGTCTATTATTAGAATTCGATATTTAGGCAATTAAATTAATATATACTTTTTTTTACTTACTTTGTTCGAAATGGGAGCGTTGCAAGAGGCGCAAATTGTAGGTCCCTTAAAAAAAAAAAGATGTCGTGTATCAATTAGTTACATGATCAGTTACAAAATATCTATTAATAGACTGTATTATAAACATTTTAATTGTTTCACCTGGTATGCCTACGCACACTTAAAAGGTAAGCAATCAGGTTGTTTTTAAACTTCAAAAACGTTTGCTTTTGTTCAACGATAAAAAAATAATAACAAAACACAAAAGACACACGCTTCTGAACAATGAACATACAGGGTGTGCGGTGTTGTAAATAAAATCACCGGTGAAAGTTTTATAACGTAAGCAGTAATTTATTTTTAATAATACGGAAAGTTTGTATATAAAACATTACGTCGAGAATGTTTTCGATTTAAAAAATAGTGCAGACGGAATTTGATAAAATGAAAATCAAAAATTCGCGGCTACTCACTTTGCTACTCATGTTGATCACGGTGCTGAAAACTTTGCGATGTCTGTACACTGGCGAAAGCGGTTTATCACAAAATGACTTTTCTAATTGTTCACTCGTAAATATAGAAGCGTTTATAGAAATGATATCATTTTTCCGTTATCAGTAGATACCGAATCGTGTATAGTAGTACCGTGTGAAATTATAGCTAAATTCATCACTTTGTTTGTTCAGCATTCCTACTTTTACAAACAAAAAAAAAAAAGGCGAGGATTACAAGAAGAATCGATAATATCCGAATTACAATACTGTAATCTCCTGGCACCGTGACCTTATTCCAACTAAACCGCAAGATATACAATAATCTAATTATTATTGTTCTAAATTTATTCGGGGCGTAGTCTAGCACGCGCGCGAAATTTTCTTTGGATGGATTATAACACTGGTGACTGACTCCGCGGAAGCGCACAGTTAGAATGTTTTGCGTTTACGTATTATGTACTTACGATTAGACTCCATCCATATACAGATATGTTAGTTGACTTGCTACACCTCGGTCTCCGTACTTAAGCAGGAGCTAAATATGTGTCGGAGGCAATTACCGAATTTATGTAAACAATGGCACGGAAATGAGCCGGCCTTTTTAATCGGAATTCTTTCCGAGCGCCAGTTTAATAATAATTTCCTCATACCTACAGTAGTTGTTACCTACATACACTTCGTACTATAAATAGATCCCCTTACGACGAACTACAGCTATAACTATTGTATTTTGGGATTTAATGTTCGTTAAAGTATTTGAGAAATTCGCTCATTATCTCAAAATCTGGTACATACTTTTATCTTTTATCAGCGGCTGGCAAGGTTCAGAACGGAGAGCAATGTTCCAATGTTCCCTTCCATCTTCGTTTTATGCCGGTTTTCTAAAATTCAATTTGTTCAAAAGAGCTGCGCGGCTCCAGAAGACAATTCGTAACCTCCTCGTCATGCAGGGTTTTCTGTCCCAACGAGCGCTTCACCAGGTAACGGATTGGACGACGCTCTGCAGATATATCCGGTTCGGAGCAAGATAGGATTAAAATCCTGTAACCTCTGACTCGGAGTGTATAACACCTTGGTCGATGTCTGAACCTTCTAGGAATTGCTGATCAATTCAACTCTTCAACATTGACGTTTTAATAGCCAAATCCTTCTGAAAGACGACATGTGCAGCTTCGAATAAGAAATAAATGATCATTTACAGGATCCTTGGATCCTCTCATTCTGGTCGAACATGTGAAAATAGATAGATATAGAGGGGCAAAAGATTAATATGCTTAGATTTGCAGATGATTTAGCAGTATTAGCATTCAGCAAGGAGGAGTTAAGGATAGCTTTAAATAAAATGGAAGCGGTATTGACAAAACAGTACTGTGTGAAAATAAATAAAAGTAATATAAGAACAAAGGCTTTCACGGCCGGAATCCATAGTAGAATGAAGATTCGTGCTATAGGGCCGTGCTCGAAGTGAACTATTCCGTCCTGACGTTTCGTCAGCTACTGCGGCTGACATCCTCAGTGGTGGTGCTGCGTTGACAACATGAACGTAGATTATATCTCGAAGTCTCGACAGCGAGACCTTACGATGTTGATGATGTGCAAATTGTTATGTCCTATGTATTAACTAGATAAATAAAATGTATTTAAAGCAAATGGACTCATTAGTTATTGATAGATTATAATATTCAGTAGGTGGACGTGTGCATAGGTATAATTTTGCTTCAGCTATACTTCGTAGCTTTTATACTGTAGTGTATAGTCAAGCAATCTGAACGACCTCGTGCTTCCTTCAGGTTCAGCTCATGAGGTTTTGAAGAACCTCATCTACAAAATACGTTAGAAGGGGTTGCGCTAGAATTCTGCCCTCACATGTAACATACCTTCGTGCCGCCATTGTATACGTATAGATAATACATACGTATATATATTTTAAGTTAAGTACATATGCATAAGTATATATGTATACCTACATACAATAGCTGCGTGTGTACTAAATAATTTATTGTAATAGCACTAATTTATGATGCAATTTGCAAACCGAATAAGACATGATGGTATTCTATGGAGGTGCCACTTATCGTAAAAAGGTACCCATAAATGGAACTCAGTAATTAGATTACCGTGTTTTGTAACAATGAACGCTCTTTCAATTTATGTTATCAAGTCGGCGATTGTTTGGAATTTATAAAAATGTTTTTCCCTTTCTTTTTTTGTAGTTTAAGTTTCCGATAAATCACATTTCAAGTGTCTTCATACATATATATGTATAATTTATAAAAAAAGGTACTTGTCTTATCTAGGTAAGGTAAAAGAAAAATTATTATTCGAAATAAAATTACGTCTGGTCTTTGAAAGTATCAAGTGAACGCATCGTATTCAACTTTTTTTTTTTGGAACACTTGAATAAAAATATAACTAGGAGTATTCTCTGAAAATAGGATGGCTTATTGATGAAATTCTTATTATTAACTGGGTTTTATTCCCGAAGCATTCACTTTTACGTCACCACGAACTTTTGTAACCAATAATACTTCATGTTCAGTTAAGTGGCACTATTTTACAATTAGACAGTTTTTAACCCCCTTCTCTCCCACATAGTCTACCATGGTTTTATCCTTAAACACCCCAAGGAAAACGTCTTTTTGACATTTTTGACCTACTAGTAAATAAAGTTCTATTCACGCCTCTGTTTTCCTCTAGTATGCACTGTCCAAATCTTCAAAAGACACCCACCCATCCGTATGACGGATTCCCGAGGAGGGTGTCCTCGAATCTACCCCTCTACCTCAGGCCGTCGTAGAAACTATCAAATGGAATTCGTCAGGAAGGTCGGAAGTGATTGCCAATAGTTTGGTAAGAGAAAGGGGATTTTCCTTGGGTTTGCCTGTGATTCACCGAGGTATGTGGATAGAGCGTTTGTTGGAATGAGATTTTCATTGTCGATGGTTCGTTTGGTGAATTTGGTTTGTAGGAGTTGGTAGGCGCTTCGGCAAATCCGACAACTACCCTCCTTCAAGAGATGTCTTTTGAAAATTTCATAAAGAAAATCATGCCTTTTTAGGATTTAGTTTTCTTTCTCTGCGACAAATTTTTGTTCTTTGAAACAAATTGTAAGAACTCCAATAACTTTTGTAGAACGTTCTACTTGAAATACGATTATACATATCAAATAGACTGTTGCGTGTTCCCAAATCGATTAATGTGGTTCATCAAGGTTATTACTGTTTAAAACAATGACTACAAGTACGCATATACATATATGTATGTATATACTTATGTGCATCGCTTAATGATATGACAAATTACTTAGTAATGTTAGTAATGTCCCATCTACAGAATCTACAGCTATGACCAGTTATTACTAATAATTTTTTACTCATAAATAAATAATTAGCGTATTTTCCACATTAAATTTTATGAAGCTGCTGTATTTGTTTACTCTATGATGAAAAAGATGAAGATAAAGCGAATTGGTTAAAAATTGTTCAAATGTTTACTGCTTTCGTTGGCCCATATAACAAAGTTCCAAGTTCATTATTTGACTGTGTATTGTTTCTAATCGTAGGAACTTGCGGCGTTACCCATTAAACTTAGTGAGATTTTAAAGTTGCTTGTATGCCTATAACTCTGGGTGAGACTTGTGAAACCTTGTAAGTATGCCCCTGTCTCCTAATAAGTACTTCTGGGTGAGATTCTTAGTCTCAAACCACAACCGCTTCTGATGTGAGTGATTTTTACAAGTCTCAGTTCTGTTCTTCATAAGACTTTAGGAAACATGAAATATTTTTGTATCAAAGTAAAATTTAATAACATATTTATTGTTCAGCATAAATGAAACAATAATGGTTGATTGTTTATTAATCAATATTATTATTTTTCTTTTTAAGTTTTATGGAATATTAAAACTTAATTTCATTAACTTCGCGTTCTTCAAGGTTTAATAACTGAACAACCATGATTTCGATTAAATTTCGAATTCATCTTAGGTGTCCAAATCTAACACAATCACTGACTCC